CACACACACACAGACAGCCTCTTCCCAATATGCGCTTTTGCAATTTACATATATGCAAAAACGCATTAACGACCGCTAAACGGAAATTATGCAAAATTTACGATGATTTACGGTATTGAGCGCATAAGGTAAGTGTGATGAAACAACCGCTCACGCAATTAACCTAAGTACTTCAAATTTGGTGCAAAAACGCATGATCGCACCGACTCGCTTGGTGCGTTCCAGCCTGGGTTTCGGTAAATACTTGCTTTTTGAAAAAGTGCAAATTTCCAGTTTACTAAAAAGTGTAAATATTGCTAAAGCGCTCGATCGTCAAAAAATCCAAGTATGCAAATAAACTAAATGTTTTTTTACATATTTGGATGAGGGCAGTCGTTTGATGCAAAACGCACTCCTTTCTAATTTTTCAGTGAAGTTTAGTATTTCTCGTAACCACCTGCAGGAAATTTCACTTCCAGGCAGAATTAAGACCGCATCTAATAGTAGAATATCCGAGCGAATTCTTAGCCTCGTAACTTATCCGGTAAGCGGAACAGCCACTTCACTACAAACATCTTCGAAGTGCTCTAAGTCGTTGCGCAAATGCAAATCGGAACTCAATTTAGGTATATGATTTCACATATGGGCCATAAACATACTGGCAAAATTTCAGCCGCGGTTTTCCAGCATGTTTTCGAGTTAGCAAAATGCCAAGCGGCAAACTTCGACGTGACTGTAAGTGCTGCACAAGCGTGCGCGGCAGCTGAATTTAAAATTTTTGGCTCGCACTTGCACAGAGAATATCCTTGCAGACTTTCAGCTTCGTATGTTGCCTAGTTCGCGAGATTGTTTCCTGCCAAAGAAATTTGCCTTTTTTTTTTTTGGGGGGTTCGTAGGTGGGGTCTAGGCGCGTATGAGCAAAAATTTTAAAACAGGAGGATAACACATAGAGTAGATACCTATACCCAAAATTTCAGCCTACTAGCTTTCCTGGTTGCTGAGACGAAAGCGAGTGACAAAGTTCACTCGCTTTCGAACACATACACAGATGATCTCTCGACAATATGCGTTTTTGCTGGCTATAGCATCGCTATAGCGCTGCTATAGCCAGCAAAAGCGTATAAAAAAGAAAGGAGTAGCGACTAATCACAGGTCAACCACAATGTTTGAAAACTGTCAATTACTGTATCGAGTTGGCTTTTAGAAAAGAAATTTATAAATTTAAATATATCTAAATAAGCAAGGCGGAGATTTATTAAAGAAATCATGATAAAAACTCTTTGAAATTACTGGCGACGCGCATCGGGCGGACCCATGCGATCATGCGTTTTTGCAGTACTTCATGTTGCAGTGAAATCACTTGCGAACCCGGTAGCTAGAATGTGTGACATACTGGTGTTCGAAGTTTGGGAAGTTAATTTTCTATGCTTTACTTGGAAAGGGAACATTCCTAAAATTTTAGCCTCCCAGCTTTTCTGCTTTCCGGGTTAGAAATTTTCCCGCCAAACTTTCAAGGAGCCACACGTGACCTGGGGATATACCTGGGGGCTAGGTTTGAAATCTTTAAGTTGTGCCTACTTAAAATTTCAGCCTTCCAGCTTTCCTGGTTCCCAAGTTAGCCGTTTTTCCTCTAAAAAATTTCACGGGGTCGTACGTGAGAACTACGCATGCCTGGAGGCTGAATTTGGTAACT